CACATTCTGCTAGTAAGATTCAAGTAAATTTAAAAAATAGTAATAAATTAATTTTGTAATTAAGATTGTATTAACTATATTCAATAAAGGATGTTTAAAATAAATTATGTACTATTAGAGAATATGCCATTCGTGATGATATTTTCCCATGTTTTAACAATTTTGCAGTTATCCGATCTCTACCAGATTATTTAATTGTTTTTTATTTCTTTCAATTGGTCATTTCCTTGATTTCCCAGCTGAATTTCAGAATACAATTTTTTAATTTTACTTGGTAATTATCTCCGTATGTATATTTTTTTTTATAAAATTTTTTATAGTATTTGTGTATCCCTTGATGTCATTTTCGCCTGTTTGTAATACTAATTTTTTACTCATTTATTATATATCTTCGGCTGACAAGTAAAACTCACTAAGTGCAATTCTGAAAGAACAGAGATATTCAAGTTTTTGAGGAATTTCAGAGATATTTCAAGCATATCTTATTATAAATCCATTTTTGAGCCAAGTTTATAACAGATTATAACAGAAAATAACTTCTGTTTTTACCTTCTGTTATAAAATTGGCTCGAAAATGGATTTTTTACAATAAAATATGCTTTAAAACTTGAATATCTCTGTTTTTTCAGAATTGTACTTAGTGAGTTTTACTTGTCAGCCGACGATATATTCTGTGATAAATATTTTACCATTTTTTTTCTTATACACATTAACGACGCCTAAATATTAATGCTAAATTTAAACAAATTGTTCTCATTTTTTAAGTCATTTGCAATGTTATCTGAAATAATTATAAATAATTTTTGACCATTAACTTTCAATGCAATTTTTGAATAATCACTTCTGATTTTATTTCAGTACGTGCAGAAGATTTTAGGGTAAGTTACTTTAATTTGTATCTAGTATAATACTGATTTTCAATGAAACATATAATTATATACAAATTAAAGAAATAAAATAGATTTTAAAGTAAGAATTTAATTTATCTCTCAAAACCATATCCCTTCAATTTCAGTTATATGGAGTATTTGTTTTCTTAACATATTGATTGTCTTTGTCTTCATTCCTATATGGTGTTCGTCTCCATAATATTATTTCTGAATATATTTTTACTTGGAGGTCGTAGGTACCGGTATTAATCCGCCTTATTATTATATGTCCGGTTTAACCGTCTTTCAATATGCCTTCTATGGTCTTTCTTGCTTATTATTTTCAGACAGATCAGAAACGGAAAACGTTTTGCAACTTGCACATAATTCCTGGGCTTAACCCATAATTAACCAGCAATTCTAACAATAAGAAAAATATTTTCAAAAACGTGTGTTTGGTAATAAATTAGTGCAATTTAAATAAAAATAAAAATGGTAAAAATCATAATTATTTTGGATCAATATTTGCATTGCGAATAAAGCATCTCTGGTCCTATACAAGTTCTGAAACCAAACTGACTTTTCCTTATGTTTTCATCGATTTTTCCCCATAGCCTAGAGCAGGGGTGCTTAGACGTCTAGTGTCTATTATCTGTAGCAAAATATTTAGAAGACAAACGATCAGCTACCAACTACTCTCTAAAATACGTAGATTTATGAAAGTGCTTTTATTGTAAATGTTTATAAATATAAAATATAATTATAATTATAAGACAACATCTTTCGATGTTGATCCATGGCACTGCCACAAACTTTTCGTAGGATGGAAATTAATTACTGAACTGAAGAGGAAGAGGAGTTTTAAACATGGATATTGGTTTTTGGATATAAAAGATCAAACATTTGTTATCATATGCTCTGACATTGAGGGAGAATATATCTAAAATTATCTGTAATACTTAAAAAAGAAGGGAAGTCATCATTAGGTCGACACAATCCAATAAATACATTTTTGTTGCCAGTCATGGTAAGTACTTCATCTATTGTAATGTACACGAGTTTCTAACTCGGTTTCTAAATTTAGAAAGTCTGTGTAAATATTTTCTTCGTGATTTTTTTCTTCTCTGATGGGTAGCATAACCCAGTGCTACTCTTCTCGCGATGGGTAGCACTGGGTTAATAATTCCTCTTTGTTATAACTGGCAGTATCCATTATATTGGTAGACTCATTAAACTCAATAATATCACTTTTCAGTTGGAATTCTAAATCTTTGGTCGTGATCTCGATTCGTCTGGTGATAGTTGGACGGGATAACTCATCATAAACTCATCAAATATTACATTCTTCTTCTTAAAGTGCCTATCCGTTCCGGATATTGGCGATTATCACGGCTATCTTTACTTTGTTTACTGCAGCGCGGAACAGTTCAGTGGTAGTCGTGTTATACCACTTTCGTAAATTTTGAAGCCAGGAAACGCGTCTTCTTCCCGATCCTCTCTTACCAAATAATACATTAGGCGCTTAAATAAATGCTTTTTTCACTACAGTTTCTTCTTCGAAAGGTTTCTTGTGTTCCTTCACTATGTGGGATTTAGAATTTTCAGTTTTACATATTTAAGGCGCGATTGATGCAGCTACTGATTGTTTGGCTGGTCTAGTGAAGATGGATTGCTTTCTTCAAAGTAGTTTACAAATCTTGCAATTTTCGACTTCTTAACTATTTACTCTTTTCCTAGATCTTGTTCTTCTATTATATTTTCGAATCTGCCTTTTTCTATTTTGACGTTAAAGTTACCCATTAATTAATTTATTAATTACTATTAAACTGGGAATAAGCCACAATTAAAGATAAAAATACGTTTATTGACGTTTCAATTTCCACTTCGGAAATCGTTCTCAAAATACAAAGAGTAAATTAAACAAATTTTGTTTTTTGTTACATAGTGAAAAATTCTTCTAATAATTTAATTTTATCTGACTCACTTATATTGACAATTTAGACATACATTATGCATTTTAAAGTAGACGACTTTAAAATGATATTGCCAATATTGTTGAGTTGCGCTCCTGGGACGACTTTACTTATAAGATAGTTCATTCGATTACATGAAATCAACTTTAACTTGAGAATATCCGTCAGACAAAAATCATAGCATGTAATTCGTCTTTAAAAAGACAAACACATGACATGATGATAGTAAAATTCTCCTGTTAGTGATTCCATAGTAAATTATAAGGGAAAAACCAGGAAAAAAACCTCATAATACTATCCCGACATTGTAAGTATTTGTTCGTGAATTTAGTTTACTTTCAACAAACATCAAAATTCTGATTTTATATGTTACGTTATTTAAAAAACATAAATGATGTATCCTCTATATGTTACTGACTTACTAATACTGGTATTTTCTTATTAATAACTTCCTCTTTCAATATTGGTAACCAGATCCTACTACATTCTGCCGAGGAATTTGCGACACAATTGGCCTCATTTAGCATAATTAGAGCCGCTTCTTTGATTTTTCTTTTTTTACCATCCGTTTCTTTTAGGACTACATTTGAATTATTCCATTGAACCCTATGTTCATTATCCCATGCGTGTTTACAGATTTGAGATCTATCAAATTCTTTATTTTTAATATAAGATTGATGTTCACTTATTCTAACATTTAATGGCCTTGATGATTCACCTAAATAAAACTGATCGCATTCACAAGGTATTTTATAAATGCAATTCTTTGTCCTTTCTTATTCATCGTTAGGTTTGGTTTTGGACAAAATAGATCTCAACGTGTTTGTTGTTTTGAATGCTGTTGAAATGTTGATTTTTTTTTCCTATCCTTTTAAGTTTTTCTGATAGTCCTTTTATGTACGGTATTGTTATTTTCCTCATATTATTCCTTGTGTATGCTGTAGGATCTCGTTCTAAGTTGTTCTGTTTTATTCGATCGATTGTTGAAAATTCCTTATTTATAAACGATAAAGGATAATCATTTTTTAATAAAACAGATGTTAACAAATGTTTCTCCTCCAAGAACGAATTTTCATTAGAACAAGTAATTTTGGCTCTATCGTATAAGGATTTAATTAATCCCTCTTTTACATTAATATTGTGATTTGATTTGAAATTTAAATATCTATTGGTGTGTGTTGGTTTTCTATACACCTGAGTCTCATATCTAGTATCGTTCTTAGAGATTAAAACATCCAGGAAAGGTAGCGTGTTATTATATTCCTTTTCCATGGTAAAAGTTATTGTCTCTTCTGCAAATTCCTCGGCAGAATGTAGTAGGATCTGGTTATCAATATTGAAAGAAGTTATTAATAAGAAAATACCAGTATTAGTAAGTCAGTAACATATAGAGGATACATCATTTATGTTTTTTAAATAACGTAACATATAAAATCAGAATTTTGATGTTTGTTGAAAGTAAACTAAATTCACGAACACATACTTACAATGTCGGGATAGTATTATGAGGTTTTTTTCCTGGTTTTCCCTCATAATTTACTATGGAATCACTAACAGGAGAATTTTACTGTCATCATGTCATGTGTTTGTCTTTTTAAAGACAAATTACATGCTATGATTTTTTTCTGACGGATATTCTCAAGTTAAAGTTGATTTCATGTAATCGAATGAACTATCTTATAAGTAAAGTCGTCCCAGGAGCGCAACTCAACAATATTGGCAATATCATTTTAAAGTCGTCTACTTTAAAATGCATAATGTATGTCTGAATTGTCAATATAAATGAGTCAGATAAAATTAAATTATTAGAAGAATTTTTCACTACGTAACAAAAAAACAAAATTTGTTTAATTTACTCTTTGTATTTTGAGAACGATTTCCGAAGTGGAAATTGAAACGTCAATAAACGTAATTTTATCTTTAATTGTGGCTTATTCCCAGTTTAATAGTAATTAATTTACAATGCCACAAGAAAATAGCTTCAGAACAATAATAATTAATTTATGTCTCGGTTTTTTGTACCACGTACTATTTCTTCTATTTGTTGGTAGAATTCTACTGTTTCCTCTTTACTTTGATCTGCTGTTGATGCGTAAACTTGTATGAGATTAACGTTAAACGGATGATATCCTAACTGCAAATAAATAATTACAAATTGTTTTAGGAGATAGTTATTTTATTATAAGTAAAAAATAATATTCTAGTCTATGCAGTTGTCGGTAAGACATCTGGTTTTACAAACTTTGGTGAAAAAATCTGCTGAAGGTTTTGCTGTTCTAGGCCTGTCGGGATCATTAAAGTCGACTTCATAGAGACCATATTTTTGCCTAAAATAAAATGACAATAAAAAATATAAAGTAATTACTGTAGATACTCATGTTTCTGAATAATTAAACCCATTAAAGTAAACACTTTTGCATAATGGATCAAAGTACTTTGTACTTACGTATATCCTAGCTGCCATTCAAAATTATCCATTATACTCCACAGGGTATATCCAAACACTTTAACTCCGTCTTCTACCATAGCATCTCTAATATAGCTGAGATAGTCCTAAAAAATTAAAACTAAGAAAGAGGCATATACATATTTTATAAAATTTTGTGTAAATATGTGATATGAATTCCATGACACTCTTGAAAAATATACCACTAATAATACATAGTTGGATAATATTGATTTATAAATATAATTCGACTGCTTTTATGTCCAACTTCTCCTTTCACGATGCAAAATAAGTTGTGAAGTCGTACAGTAAATGTTTCATTGGTAGCTAATAAGTACATTCGACGGAACTTCAAACAATGATTTCTGTATGATGTTAATATTCTAATTAGACTACGTGCTAAAAGCGTTCAACCCTAATTTTTAATCTCACAAATGAAAGTCCATTGCCTTGTACCTAGTGATGTGAGTTGTAAAATTACATAACTTACGTTACATAAATTACACGTAACTTACGGTAATATTACATGATACCCGTAACTTAATGTAATTTATGTAATTTTTGGAATTTACGTAATTTATGAAATTTAACGTAACTTATGATAAATTTACATAAATTACCGTAATTTATGTAATTACTGGTAAAATTACATATATTATGGCAACTTATGCGCGCGCAATTGTCGTAAGTGCGGTGCGCCGGTGCCGGCGCGCGCGAACCAGTGGGTGCTATTACGCTCGTCGCTCGTTAGTCGTTCCTTAGTCTGAGTCAGGCAGGTTATGTTTACATTTCTGTTATTGTATGTGTAATGTGTATGTATAAGTTAGTTTTCGACTGTTCTTTCTCTATTCATTCACGCAGCGTTGGTTACTTTACATTTATTTATAAGGAAGCACAGAAACTATAAGGTAAGAAATATATTATTTCTACAAACAGCAAAACACGTGCCGGTGATGTCCATAGCAACCTTAGATTGGGAAACACAGGGGCGGGCCTATCGCATATCGACTGTACGTTAAATCTAACGCGCGTCATTTTATATGTGGCTACAGTACTTAATTCTGAATTCGGTTTACCAAGTTTTATTCGATTTTTTAGATTAGTTTACTGTACAATAACTATAAGAATGATAGGAGCAACGGGGTACTTGTGCATGTAGCATGTGTAATTGAATTACACTGACATAACTTACTAAATAAAAAATTTTGATAACGTTGAGGGCAAAATAATGTAGTTGTCCGATCCAGTATTCTGCTTATTCGAATTTCATTAAATTGTTACACAGATTCAATTTTAATCTTTCTTCTATTTAAGGATGCCTAACAATTTTTTATGCCCTCGTGCCCATCAAATACTTTGAAAAATAATGTTTTTTCCCTTCTTAATGTTTAAGTCTACCTGAATATTTTTTTTAGGTCATAAAACATGGTGAAACGTAAGACAGATATCTGGCTTTATTTTGAAGTGTTACCTGCGGGTTCTTCTAATCAAAAGACCATTAATGTGAGGTGTAAATTTTGCAAGAGTGTACATGCAAAAAATGCTACAAGAATGAAATCTCATCTTCAACAATGCACTTATGTGCCGCATATGATAAAACTTAAATTCAATATTTTAACTCCAAAGTCAAAGGGAATCACTCTAAATTTCCATTTGAAACATCCATGAAAAAGATCACATCGGCAAAATTGGATAACGATAACACTGATGCTGCTTGTACATCATCAACGGTTTCCACAGCATCAACATCTGCTTCTGATAACATTCATGTGGAAACACCTGTTTGCACAAAAATCAACAGAATACAATCATTTTGTGATCGAATGACACACGAACAAAATAACGAATTGAATATTTTGCTTGCTAGAGCTATTTACACCAGTTCAGCACCACATTCAATTACCGAGAATGAAGATTGGAAATTGTTTTTTAAAAAAATTAGACCTTCATACACCTTACCATCGAGATATATGTTATCAAATCGTCTCCTGACCGAAGAGTACGAGCGAGTTGAAGTTCAAGTTAATGATAAAATTAAGCAAGCTGACAATTTATCATTGCAATGCGATGGTTGGTCCAACTTGCGAAATGAAAGTGTAATTAATTTCATTGTTACAACACCCGAACCGTTATTTGTCAAATCAGTACTAACAAAAGCAGAGAAGCATACCGCAGAATATATAACAAAATTAATGGTTGAAGTTCTGGAGGAGTATGGACCTAAAAAATTTTTCGCTATTGTGACTGATAACGCAAAGAATATGAGGAAGGCTGTGAGACAATGTGAAGAGATGTATCCCCATCTTGTATCATACGGCTGTTTAGCGCACACATTACATTTATTGTGCAGCGATATTTTGAAATTATCTTCAATAGAGACACATTTGTCACATATTATACATATCGTTAAAACTATTAACCAGTGTCAAGTACTGAGAGCTCAATTCACAGAAATAAGAAATGAGATGAAGTGTGGAGTGTCTCTTAGCCTACCTGTAAAAACAAGATGGGGTTCACATGTAAAATGTCTTCAAGATCTGACTAAATGCAAGTCCGTCCTACAACGTCTAGCAATATCTCCAGATAAAACAATTCAAGATAGAATACGCAGCGCAAAAGCAAATTTACTTGATGAAGGATTCTGGATAAATTCTAGCGCTCTTGTTGAATTGCTTAAGCCAATTACTGAAGCAATAACACGTCTTGAAGGAGATTCTTCGTCAATTCATTTGGTTTGTGAAACTTTCGCGAAAATCGGTAGTAACATATCTACTCATTTAGAATGCGTGAAACTAACGGATTGCGAAAAAACAGAAGCGATGGATAAATTTATATCAAGGAAGGAATACGCCCTTCAACCGATCCATTTTGCCGCAGACTTACTAAACCCTCGGTCTGTTGGTGCAAATTTATCATCAGCCGAAAGGATTGAAGCGATGAAATACATTACTACTATGTCAACCACGACCACGATAGAGATTGGTGATGAAGGAGTGTCAAAGATTACTGAGGATTTAGGAAACTATTTAGCTAAAACAGACTTTTTTGGCGAAACATTTTTATGGAACATACTCGATAATGTCTCTTTGGTTACATGGTGGAAAGGATTTTGTGGACATTCATGCCTCTCCAAAGTTGCAGTCAGGATATTGACAATGCCGTGCACTTCTGCGGCAACAGAGAGAAGCTTTAGCTCCCAGAGCAGCATTCATACGAAGAGAAGAAATCGCCTAACAACTCAAAGGGCAGCAAATTTAAATTATATACAATATAATTCAAAATTGCTGAAACGTTCACGACAACATCACATACAAAGTCAATATCCTATAGAAGAGACTGTACAGAACAACGTTTCGATAGAAGGTAGAAACTTACAGAAGGAGATAGAAGTAATTGAAAACCATATTTCCGAAGAGGAAGAATTAGACGAGGTAATTTTAAATTTAGGCATTTTTTAGATATGTGATATGTGCATGTGATATATGCAGTTTGCTTCTTTTCCGATTTTCCAATGCATTCCACCGTTTTCGAATAAAAAATTATAAATCTTATGTTTTCAGACAATATCATCATGGCATTCAAATACAACAGGAAATGGAAATTCCGACGATGATTTTAATTTTGCTGACTTTGCAATGACCGATGATGAAATTGATCAAAGAATGGAAACTAGGGAACAGAGACCAGCACGCATTTTGAGACAAAGCAAAGTGAACATTTTAGAAAACGTCTTAATGAAATCGGTAAATTAGTGTAAACACATACATATTTATTGTTTATATTCCAAAATTATCAATTTCAGGGTAAAGGCACAGAACAACCCCAAAAAAAAACGGAAGTCGAGAAGGATACTTCAGATGCCGAAAACAAGGTAGTTAGATCTGTATATATTATATTATAAACCCATTATTTTTACTCTCTATGTTTACACTTTCCTATTTAATTTCAGGATGCAGTTCTGGATTTGCCGGAGATAAAAAAAATTACACAAGGCTCATTGGAAGAGCAAACAATTGAAACTTCGACGTTTTATAACAAGAAGGTCTCCAGTTGTCTGCGAAAAAGGAAGTTGTGATTTATAAAAGCCGCTTAAAACAAAACTAAAGAACCTATGTTTTCATTTCTTTATTATTTGTATGTATTTCTTATCCACTTTTCTTTATTTCATAAGTATGTAGTTACTTTGTGTTTATTATATTCAATATGAATGCAAACAATTGATTTTTTAATACAATGAACATAAATTACATAAGTTACATAAATTACATCTGGTTTGTAATTTTTGGGTAATTTTACACGTGTAACTTACAATTTCTGAAATTACACGTAATTTCACATCGCTACTTGTACCTTGTAATTTGCAAATTTGTACTTTGTACAAATATTTTCGAACTAAGAAGTTTTGCCATAATTTAGCAAGTCATTAAATACTACCGGAAGGTGAATATCCTCGTAATTAAAGTATATTATAGATTCTGTTACAATTATATACAAAGAAATTAGAAAGTTATGATTATTGTAATATTACAAATTAAGGGTTTACTTTGTGATTAAACAGTGTGTAATTAGTGTAATTTATATTGTAATAAAAATATCCGAAAAACTTAAGGTATGACATACAAAATCTTAGTTAAGTTAGTAATTTAATTAACGTCATTATTGATTATTTATTTAAATCCCGCCGTTCAATCTTGCTATGACAGACAATAACATCTTGACTTTTAAAGAGGTACTTACATCATGTAAAATACTTAACAGCGAAAAAAGTATATTTAAAATGATTACCCTTAAGACATACAAATTAAGTTTATTACTTATCAAAATAAACTATTGTAGGTATCAGATTCATTCTTTTATGTGCTTTTTTAACGAATTAACGCACAGTATCCATTATTATTTTAGGAAAATAATCTACTGATATTACTTGATTAAGAAAAGTACTAATACGCGCTTATTGAAGAAAGAACTGGAGACGGTATGTTATTTCAAAAGAGAACCTGTATCTATATATAGTAGATTAAAAAAATTTCACCACGATCCTGTGACCATTTATATTCTATAAAAAAAGGTTAATTTTCCTATAAAGTGAAATTTGAGAAAAAAATATCCGAGTGAGGTTCGAGCAGAAATTGGAATTTCTTTCAGCATTTTATAAAACTATTTTATTGTATGTTGCATACTTTTTGGGTGGGAAAAGAGCAAAAAATATGCAACAAAAAAATAAACAAAGCGGCATTGCCAAAAGAGCATTACATCATATCTCCGTGGTTATTTGTCCGATTGGGATAACAATTATACTAAGATAAAAATAATCAAACAATGTGACTACTAAAAAAACACTAAACAGCATCTTCGATATTTATGAACGTACAGTCACATACAAGATATCAGATGTCACTATGGATGAAAATAAATTTACTATAAGACAAAAAATGATTTATTGACTTAAAGAAGGTAAGTAAAAGTTAACAATTCATCAAATCCTAACATGCCATATAGCAAATGCAAAGGGAGGATATAACGAATATATTAAGATAAATAAAAACAAACAAAGCGACTACCAAAAGAGTACTAAACAATATCCTGATTATTAATGAACTATGGATATGCGTTATGGATGAAAATCACTTTACTATAAGACAAAGCTTAATTTATTAATTTAAAGAAGACCTCTGGCTGAGCACAAAATTAACAACTGCCCGAATCCCCATATGCGTCATAGCAAATGGAAGGGAAGGATTTAACGAATTATTTTAATTTTATTAAAATATAATTATATTGTTATGAATTTTACTAAAATATTTAATAAATATATTAAAGTTATTTTAGTTATATATGTATCTCAAATTAATATTATAATTTCAACGCAATTTAAAAAGTTTTCTCTTCTGTTCACACTATCTGAGTGCAATACTTTCTTGTTTTTTTTCTTATTTTTCTCATGTTTTTTGTAACTGTTGCTCAGTTTAAAACCGATTTTAGATAGTAGTTATAAAAAAAGTTATAATATTTTTAATTTATTTATATAAAAAAAGTGAAATTATGTTTCACATTTGAAGGATAAAATGTTTTTATCGCAATTTTAGCTTCATGTCATTTTTTTTGCAAATAGAAACCTTTGATTTCATTTTGCTATCTTTAGCCCTAGAACACATATAATAGCGACCTTTTAATGGGGTTGTTAGTTTACGGCACCTTCTTCTGCTCCTAACACACATTTTCATCATACTCAGGGTTGTTTTCGAAATCCGGCTACAGACATTTTAATTACCAAGACGACTTAAAATAAGTGGTTTAATTAGAAGTGGTACCAATTCAAGCAAGAATAAGCGCCTTATGTCTGCCTTTATCCTGGCTTTAAAAATCTTCGTGGGCCTTAGCCTCCTCAAAAATCTCTATCTAGTCGACCCTATCCATCGCCTTCCTCCTCTGCCAAGCACATATATATATATATATATATATATATATATATATATATATATATATATATATATATTAGATATATATATATATATATATATATATATATATATATAGATAGTTCGTCTTCTATAGATATGTTCATCTTCGATATCACCGCATATTGTTCTAAGTATATTCAACTTCCATATATCTCGCCTCAGTTCCATGGTTTTACCCAAGTTCCAGTTCTCGCTAGCATAAAGCACCGTTGGTTGGATAACCGTTGTATATATATTTTTTTGCTCTTCCAGGTACATATTTTCTTGAATGTAAGCATCCTGTTTAGACTTACAGTACTTATTTTACCTTTAGCCATTTTTTTCTTTCGATTTATTAGGTCTCCTTTTTCTATTTCTTAACGTTATTCTTAATTAATCGTACTGTCCAGCTATCTCAAAGTTATATTCCTGGTCTGGGGCAGATAATTTCCAAAACTGTCTCAACTGTTTATTATTTTCCCTCATTACCATATACTTTGGTTCTTCACATTTACTTCTACCCCATACTCTATAGTTTTTCTCTCAAGTCTTTAAAAATTTCTCCTAAGTAATACTATTGAGCTTCTTGTTATTACGGCAAAGTCGTTCGCGTATGCCACGCAGTGATGTCTGTGGTGGTAGGTTGAACCTTAAGTGTAAATATTGCTGTCTTCATTACGAACGAATTGACACAGATAACATGTATACTGTTGCAATTGCGACCACCTTTTAGTTTGTCTATGACAAGTGCAGTCCCCAACAAGTTTATCCAACGTGTTTAAAGCTTCTTTAGTTTTGTTGTAATGATGTATTATATCTGATTTTTAGTATCGTCACCAATATCTGGCGAATAATATTGACTTGATAAAAAACCACAGACTGGTTTTTTTGGGGACGTAGAAAATCAACGTGACTTCTGATTAAAAACCGAAAAGTGCTGATAATAGTGGTAGCTCAGGAAATGCTAAGAACTGTAGAAATTGTATATAGAAATGTATAAATCAATAACAAACGTTTGCTTTTCTGATTTTTTTCACTATTATTTTTTATTTCTCAAAAAAAATTTGAATGGATTTAATAAAATAATAACTTAAAACACTAATAAAAATGTAACGGCAGGGGTCTGTTTTGCCCACTTAGCCCTAGGAAGGTTGTATCAAAAATACTAATTATAAAAAATATTCTTGATCTCACTTAAAACGATTTGGGTTAAAACATCGGTGAAGGAAAATTTGAACGTTCGTCATACAGCCAGTTACATAGAGTTTATACAGGGTGATTTTTAAATAGTTCTAATTAAGAGTTCTATATATTTTAGAATATTTAGACAAATCCAAAACCTAAATCGCCCTAATTTTCCGATATTAATTATGTCAAGTTTCTCTAAAACTTCCAATTAGAATTCCCAAAGAATCATCCTGTATTAGCTCATATGGTAGTGTATGGGTAAAGTAAATGTCTTAATACTAAATAAAGTCAGCTTAATTGTTTTTAAAAGAAGCACTTATTATATTCGAACGACTGTGCCAGTCTGCCTTTCAACAAAGCAGAGATATTTTTAATAAAAATTTCTATCTACCGGATTAGAACTTATTCGAATACATACCCTAATATAGTTGATCCGTTTATTGTCGTCATCGGTACATAACCCATTTTCAGTAATAATAATTTCAGGATTTTCGTAGTGATTTTTTATCCAATTTAAAAGATTCCTTATTGTCCACGGAGCAATCTGAAATAAATAAGAGGGGAATAATGAAAAAAGCTATAATCCATGATAACTGAAATTCACTAAAGTCATATTAATATTAACTTTACAAATAAAAGGCAGATATCCAACACAGTTTTTTATTAAATCTTGCCCAAGTACTTTCGATTTCAGAATATATTCAGGGGCATCTGCAATTAGCCAAGAAACGTTTTTTTTATGTTTTCAAGTAAGAGAAAATTAGTTAACTTCGTCCAAAAAATTATTAAATTATTAGGTAAAGAAATAATAAATAAGACTTACTCACAATCAATTTAATTTAACTATAAGACTACCGGTTTCGCTTTCTACAATATGCAAAGCATCCTCAGGTCTCGATACAAAGTTAAAACAAATGCCGAAATAATAAAATCCCATATTAGGGTGTTGTCTAATAACGATAAACAAAGTAGGTGTTGTAAATTACAATAATTATGCCAATATTACATGTCTGTGGTTTTATTTAAATGAGTAAGTTGAATAAAAGGTATAAAATTTTTAAAAAGTTTAAACAGACAAGGTAAGGCCCACAAATTGTTATAAAATAGTCTCTTCGATTGTAATAAATGAGCAAATAAATAAATAAACATTACTTACATGCCGGTACTCTATTAATAGATGGATGGTAGAACATGGTTGAAACTACTTTATATTGTTGAATGAAGAACTCAATTCTATTATTGCAGTTGTTTGACAGTAAACGGGAAGTTCTTGAAGAGATAGATTTGATCCAATGAAGAAGAGATATGTGTGAGATTGTTTGTTAAATGTAAGTGATGTAATATACCATTGTGTTATTAAAGGCTATTTATACTTATTCCAGAGATATATTTTTGAAATGTGTGTTATTTATTGAGTAATTTTTTTATGAAGGTGACAGTTTTATGACAATGAATAAGTGTAGATGTAAAAATTGTGTGGGTGTGCAATTATTTTCTAACTTGTAGTTATCAAATTACTTTGATAAAGTTCTATTGGCAATGAGTTAATTATTGGAATAGTCAAGTAAATAAAATGTTAAAATACAAACAATTAAGGATAATTTAAACACACTAAAACAGAAAACACTTAGAAGGGACGAAACAAACATTGAATTTAAAAGGGGGAAGGACTTTAATGCACTACATCGTAGTCTTGGGCACGATGAGTTTTTTTTATGTTGTATCTATTAGATTTTAGTGGTAAATTTGACAGATGTAGGTTAGCATGTCACAGTTCTTCTTCTGTTTCTCAATACTTTAAGTTATCTAGTTTCATGAAATATGCTGTTATTAATGAATGTCTATAAAATTGTTTCAATTTAGATATCAAAATTAAATTGATGTGTTTAATATTGGCATACTTTAACAATCTTTAATTAATCAAATTTAATGTAACAATATGGATAATTGAAATACATACTACAATATAACTAACTCAGTCTAATGTCCAAATTACTGAACAAATTAAAGTAATTCTTTGGCAACTGAAGATGTACCTTTTATAATCAAACGTATAATAAGTTTACAAAGTTTTTTATTTTTATTTGAAATTGTTGTAGGTATGAGTTATCTGTCAGGGTATTTTTTAATTATTAGAGATATTTTTTTCAAATTCTGATATATTAATATCTAATATACTAATATGTAACCCAAAGCAACAAATGGATAATTATTGATGGTAATTAATTTATGGGCTCAAGAAATTGACTGAATTATAAAGCCTTCAATAATTAGTTGGTAGTTCTAATTACCATATCCATTCAATTATTCATATTGTTACATTAAATTTGATTAATTAAAGATTGTTAAAGTATGCCAATATTAAACACATCAATTTAATTTTGATATCTAAATTGAAACAATTTTATAGACATTCATTAATAACAGCATATTTCATGAAACTAGATAACTTAACTTAAAGTATTGAGAAACAGAAGAGAAACTGTCACATGCTAACCTACATCTGTCAAATTTACCACTAAAATCTAATAGATACAACATAAAAAAACTCATTGTGCCAAAGACTACGATGTAGTGCATTAAAGTCCTTCCCCCTTTTAAATTCAATGTTTGTTTCGTCCCTTCTAAGTGTTTTCTGTTTTAGTGTGTTTAAATTATCCTTAATTGTTTGTATTTTAACATTTTATTTACTTGACTATTCCAATAATTAACTCATTGCCAATAGAACTTTATCAAAGTAATTTGATAACTACAAGTTGGAAAATAATTGCACACCCACACAATTTTTACATCTACACTTATTCATTGTCATAAAACTGTCACCTTCATAAAAAATTACTCAATAAATAACACACATTTCAAAAATATATCCCTGGAATAAGTATAAATAGCCTTTAATAACACAATGGTATATTACATCACTTAGATTTAACAAACAATCTCACACATATCTCTTCTTCATTGGATCAAATCTATCTCTTCAAGAACTTCCCGTTTACTGTCAAACAACTGCAATAATAGAATTGAGTTCTCCATTCAACAATATCAAGTAGTTTCAACCATGTTTTACCATCCATCTATTAATAGAGTACCGGCATGTAAGTAATGTTTATTTATTTATTTGCTCATTTATTACAATCGAAGAGACTATTTTATAACAATTTGTGGGCCTTACCTTGTCTGTTAAACTTTTAAAAATTTTATACCTTTTATTCAACTTACTCATTTAAATAAAACCACAGACATGTAATATTGGCATAATTATTGTAATTTACAACACCTACTTTGTTTATCGTTATTAGACAACACCCTAATATGGGTTTTTTTATTTCAGCATTTGTTTAACTTTGTATCGAGACCTGAGGATGCTTTGCATATTGTAGAAAGCGAAACCGGTCGTCTGATAGTTAAATTAAATTGATTGTGAGTAAGTCTTATTTATTATTTCTTTACCTATTTTTAAATGGACTCACACAAGCGACACATTAATGAATTAAATTATTAATTTACAGTTATATGGTTCAAAAAATCGCTGGTTGTACCATATCTTATCCCAAATAAGAAATTATTCTGGAAAACAGAATAAATAATATGTTATTCCACCTTGTAAAACTAAATTAGTGTTTGCCGTACCTTAAACCAACTGGGTTGGGTACTGTTGTCCCATTCGGAAGGCTGAAAGTCGTTAACACCAATGTCTTGCCATTTAGAAGGAGGATTAGAGATTGGAGGATCATCTATGTGGTTGATCAAATTGGCAGTATAGACATTGACAGCAAAGAAATCAGCAGTTCCTCTAAGCAAGGCTTTCTCTTCCTCAGTGAATTCTGGTAGCCGTGATTGGTTCCTTCCTTCACCCCTGCTGCGTTCGGCTACTCTGGTCTTCATTATATCTGGGTAGTCTCCAAAGTGGACGGGGTTAGCATACCAACCCAACTAAAAAAAGTATTAATTTTAGTAATAAATCCATGCAATATTTTTTTTTAAATTGATTAGGGAGAGCGGACAATTTGATAAATAAGGCTTAAAGTAAGTCAACAAACTGCCAAAGAAGTACCACAAATTAAGAGAAAATCTAAACCCTCAATAAAAATTCATTCGAAGATAAAACAGAGCGAGGCATGTCGGGGAGGTAAAAAGAAAAACTTAACTTTAAGTTTAAATTAAATATATTAAAATTCACATGGGCTTAAATAAGTAAAGAAGTGACGAAGCACAGAATTTCAAATTTAAAGCAAACATACTTTTAACCATAATTTATACCCAATTTACCTCGAAATGGAATTTTGTATCTGCAGCAATTTTATCTTCTTCGCTGTCTGAAGCTGGTACATAGGCCGCCGTATCAAGGACAATGGATATATTTCCTTAAAGAAATACAGTAAATATTAGGTATCAACTTTCTGCAAAAAAAATTTCTATGTACCTTTCTGTGTAGGTCTAAACTCTTTATCATACACATGCCAAGCTCTAGCGTGAGCTCTAAGCAAATTATGAACACATGTATATTCAAGAAGTCCTTCAGAATGAACAGCGGGTGGAAAGTATCCGTAGGCGTATCCACCCATACAAGTCTGTCTCGGTTCATTGAAAGTGATCCAGTACTTAACTTCGTCTCCGAAATTCTGAAAGAGTACTCTAGCATAATTAGGGAACCATGTCTGGATGTCTGGGTTCTGGAAACCTCCCAGCTCTTCGAGGGTTAAAGGTAAATCCCAATGCGAGATAGTTACTAAGGGTTCTATATCGTTGTCTCTGAGTTCTTTGATGAGGTTTCGGTAGTATGTTAGTCCTGCTTCATTGATTTGGTCTGGGTAACCTAAAAATGTATGGATAAGTATTGTTCACCAACAAATACCACATATATAGACAAGAAGACAAAAATATCTTCGATGTGTATTTGTGTAAATGTATATATATATATATATATATATATATATATACCTATACAGATTGAACCAAATTAAAACGGAACATACAATTTAATACATGTCTGTTTGAACTGCATTTAAATAGTGGACCAATATAAAACTGGACAAAAATAAATCCATACCTGGGTATAGACATTGTATAAATATCGTTCAACTATCTGTCTCGCAACAAAGTTGTTTGCGTAAGACGGGTTTTGTCTAAGGAGGTGATAATAGTTCAGGAATTGAAGCTCGAAAAAAGTTAAAACCTCGCAATTTTTTCGTCCTGCATGTATCCATTGAAATTTTAATCAGAAGGTAGGTAATAGCCCAAGGATCAAAATCTATATCGAACCGAAGTGCGCTGAAGGGTTTTAGGGGTGAAAACTACCCCTAATTGTCAAAAATTATAAAATAACATATTAAACCTGAATATGGGTAAGATTTAGTTTGAATTAATTAAATAATGATTATTTTATACTTTTGAATAGAGTTCCATCATATTTCAACCCCCTTAAAAAGCAACCCTTGTTAGAGATTAATGTAAAAAATTACTAATTCTAAAAAAAATGATTTCGCCTTGTATCGATTTGGATAAAAATTTGGATTTAAGCTCAATTCACCCGCTGCTTTATAGTTTATGTCATGTCGACGAACCCTGATTGTTCTTAGGGATGAAAACTACCCCTAATTGTCAAAAATTATAAAATAACATATTAAACCTGAATATGGATAAAATTTGGTTTAAATTAATTAAATAATGATAGTTTCGTGCTTTTCAATAAAGTTCCATCATATTTCAACCCTTAAAAAGCGACCCTCATTAGAGATTAATATAAAAAAAAAAGTAATGCGAAGAAAATGATTTCACCTTGAAACGACTTGCATAAAAATTTGGAATTTAGCTCAACTCACCCTCTGCTATATAGTTTATGTGATGCCGATGAACCCTGATTGTTCTTAGGGGTGAAAACTAACCCCAAATTTTCAAAAATTGTAAAATAATATTACAAATCCTAAGATGAGTGAAATTTGGTTTGGATTAGTTAACTAGTGAGTTTTTTATACTTTAAAATACAAATTCATACATTTTCAACCCTTAAAAATTAATTGTTATGAGTGCTATAGGTGAAAACAACTTTTTGGCAAAATTTTGCAACTTTTCAACTTTTGAAAATCAACCTTTACAACATTGAAGTTTTTATAAACTAATTTATAAGATATAAATTGAAAAAAGTAGAATTAAATACAAAAAAAAATTATCAACATAAAAGGCACCATATATTCTTATACATTTACATAAATAGTTGAAAATATTTACATTTATAGGTAAAACAATTATAATATTAATTTTACTCGTCATCAATTACATCTTCATCGTGATCTATGTCATCATCATCTTCCTCAATTATTGGTGGACTGTTATGGCACCCTTCACCTGAGCACCCAGAACAAGTAGAGTTACAGTATAAACCAACTTTTCTGCACCCATATGAAACGCCGCATCCTTTTTTGCATTGGCAAAAAATAATTTTCAAAAATTTATCGGGTGCAGGTTGTTTGTTTATGCGTACGGGTAATAACAAACCATCTTTGGAAAACCATCCCCAATTTGTTGCTCTGATATTTTCATTGCCAAGCCATAGACATATGAGCAGATGTTTTATTCTGTTGTATGGGATTTCAAAATAAGAACGCTTAAAATTTCGAATGTATAACGCCCCACTAGCTAATATACCGGTTTTGTAGATTATTATGCTCCGAAATGTACTGTACTATACTAATGGAATTTTCCGGAAAAAAATTAACTGGTTTTTTTAACGTATTTCCTTTAATTTTTAACGATAATGTTTCTTTAAAAACGATTTGTAGAGGTTTTTAATAGCTACAAGGATCTGTGAATTAAATCTTTTTGGAACCCTTGGTTTTTAAATGGGGTGAGTTTAAAGGGCTCGAAAAAGATGGTGCTTGATCGTAAATCGATGCTTTAAAACGGCTATATCTCGCCAAATATTCATTGTACAACAAAAAATTAATTAAGGGTAATTTTAGTCATTAAAAAGCTACAATTTCGTAATTTTTATTTTTTTCATATATTCAGTATTTTCGGCATATTTAAAAAAAGAAGGGTAAAAAATATGAAATTGTAAATCGTTTCTCGCTTTAAGCTGTACTTTTTCTAAAACTAAAAATTTTAAATGGGTCAAACTTCTTGGACGTATTAACAATACATCTACAAAGGGAATTGCAGAAGGCTGAAGATCGATTTTAGTTATGGGGTTGTTGTTTTTCCCTCGATTTTTTTTCGTAAAAAATGAGGTATTGACCTTATTTTTTTATGATAGGTCTATTTATGCTCTTTAAAAAAGGTTTTGTGAGTTTTCTTCCAAAAATGCATCATTTTTTCCGATATTTGACTTTGAATCTTTCAAATTTGGCATTTAAAGAAAACCGCTGAACATTGATATTGTATTTGTAATTGTATTTTGTCTTTTTAAAAGCTACAAATTTGTTTCTCTACAATTTTTTTGATAAAATGCACCATTTTTCGAGTTGTTCGCGAAAAATCGATTAAAAAACGTGGATTTTTTCGTCTAAAAGTTGTTACTTTCAATCGCGAATAACTTGAAAAATATCATTTATAAAAAAAAATGTATAGAACATTTTTTGTTTAGAATCACTTTTCTAATCGAAACCTGTAGTTAAAAACGTAAAAAAAATTTCACCCCGAGATGGGGTGGCAACTACCACCTAGGCTTTGGCGCACTTTGGTTCGATATAGATTTTGATCCTTAGGCTATTACCTATCTTCTGTTAAATTTCAAGTCAATCCACGCCGCACGAAAAAATTGCGAGGTGAAATGCTACATTTCCTGGACTATAACTGGTTTGACAGCATAATCGTAGATTTATGTGTAGCTTTCAATTTTTATGAGTTCAGAATCCAGCAGCCCACAGAAGTATGGGATTTTTTATATTATAATTATTTGACAATCTTTTGTTGGCCAACCAGCTACAGCAGAATTGAGCCGAAATACATTATATTCCTATGTTCCGAATTTATTTCGTTCAATCTGTATATATATATATATATATATATATATATATATATATATATATATATATAATATATATAATAATATATATATATATATATATATATTATATATATGTATATATATATATATATATATATATATATAAATATAATATATATATATATATATATAGAGTGTGTATAACGACGCTAAGAATACAATTTTTCGGGAAAGCGTCAAAACAAGGATCAGCTAGAAGAGATGGTATAAGCCAGCTGGGTGTAGAACTTTATTCTAAATGTGAAATTTTCGTGATATTTGTTCACCTTCATCAGCACCTAAATGGAAAACCTATTATAGTACAGTGGTGGAAATCAACATTTAAAAACCTACATTGAAAATGTTCAGTTGGTCCTAGTTTGTAAAGAACACTGTCACAAACATGTTACCCCCGAATTACCCTCCAAAGTTATATATATATATATATATATATATATATATATATATATATATATATATATATATAGGTTTTTACACCAAACAAAATAATTAGGTTAGTTAATAAAATTATGCTGCTACACATATTAAAAAAACACTATTTTAAAAAATTATAAATGTTTCTCTTTCTTTAGAAATACAATTTTGAAAAAAATTGTTAAACAAAACAATTGAATTTTGATAATATAAAAAATTAGAATAGCGACCAATAAAATTTCAAATAACTCTCAATGTCATGAATGGCAATTTACAGTTTGTATTTTAATTTATTTTGACAACTATATTGCCAAAATTAAAATTTTGTTAATAAATAAAAATTTAATTCAAACAAAAGATCAGAAATTCAAAATCTAAGCAAAATTTATAATTATAGATATTATTTCTCTAAAATTCATTTATAAAGCTAGTAAAATATCACATTTTTAATTTAATTTTTCCATATACTTCGTACATTTTTTTCATAATATCTGTAAATCTCCTTTTCCTTGTCTAAACTGTGAATAATTAATAAATCTTCTTATTTTTTATTAAATAAAAAGAATATTTAACAAAATTTTTATTTTAATAATACTATAAAAATAAGTAATAAACTATTTATTAACTAATGAAATTATAAATAAAAAGTAATTATTATTTTAAAACTTTAATATACGGTAAGACTTATGTCGTCTTAGAGGAAAATATTTAAAGTATAATACTAGTAGTTGCAAATCTGCCAAACGTAATGAGGTACCAATATAAGGTTATTATAGTAAGGTTTTCTTTATTTTGAGTCAAAACTTTAGCAAAGAAACTATTGAATATACATTTTATACCTTTTGCATTATTTTCCTCTTAATTATTAAATTCATGGATGGGAAACCGCTAGAAAAAAGACATCTGATCGATCTTGGTACTTGACCTCCATTACACATTACCCTGCGTCGTACTCGTAACCTTTCACGTACGACGTGAACATTATAATTTTGTTTATGTAGAAATTTTGCAATGTAATTAGCCAGTAGATTGTAGAGTGGTCTTATTGCAATTTTGACCTTAACATTGGACTGTATAACCAATAAAAATATAATATATTATAAATACATTACATACAATAACTTTGAAGATATCACAAGAGGTAGTCAAACGAGATAATTAAATTAAATTGATAATGCTATCAGTATTTATTGTTTTTGAAACATTTGTAAAATAAGCAAAATACTTTAAATATGAAGCACTTAAAAATAAGGGCTAGTGAGATAAGGAACTATTTTGGATTTAAGCTAACAAAGAAGTTACACAGTTTCAGTGAAATATAGCTGTTACAGTAGTCTTGCATAAAAATAAAAATATGACGGAGCTAAAGAACTATAGCTAACTATTAGCTTGTTATCTCACATTTATAAGTTGTTTGTCAAGATAACAACTAATAGGTTAAAACAAGACTTTGAGCTTTCGAGCGAACAAGCTTTTGAGCAAGCAAGAAACAGAGCTGAATACGGAACAAATAATTATGTGTGAACAATTAAGTCGTTAATTGAAAAAAACCATTGAATATACTTAGTATACCCTTGCTACTTATCTTTGCGACTAAAGAAAGTTAATACAAATTGGATTAAAATAAAACAAAATCTGATTAATGGAAAAAGCATGCGAGTGGCCTATGTTCGGCAGTAAACGTTGAAGGCTGGATGATGATGATTATTTTGTGAAATGGTATAATCTGCAAATTTCTATTTAAATTTTGCAACTTACTGTTTACTGTACTGCGCTTTTGAGACGTATGTCTGTAATCCAACAATGCACTACATTCAATTATTTTTCGATCTTTTAGTTTTATATTTATACAACTTGACTTTTTGTTGTTTTTTTATTATCGCAATTATACAAATATTTAGCTTTGTGACTGCACATACTTGAATTGTGCGAACTTTGTATAAAAATACTTAGTATACGTTGGTTAAGTATTCATCGTTTTAAGATATTGCATGTTTTGTATTACCGCCCTACAAAGAGTAGGATTGGATGAGAAGGACATTCGGATCGTCATGAATTTATACTGGAACCAGCGTGCTCAAGTCAAGGTCGAAGACCAGCTGGCCGACCAAGTGAAGATCATGCGAGAAGTAAGGCAAGGTTGTGTGCTATCGCCGACTCTTTTCAATATATACTCTGAGGAGATTTTTACTGAAGCCCTCACAAACCTAGAGATGGGAATCCGAATGGACGGTGAATACATCAATAATATCCGCTACGCCGATGACACTGTGTTACTAGCAACCAGCCTAAACGATCTGCAGGCCTTACTAGACCGAGTGCAAACTGTGAGCGTAACATATGGACTGAACCTTAATATTAAGAAAACTAAATTCATGGTTCTCAGCCGTACAAATTTAGATCTCGGGGCACTAATGGCAGATAGCGAAGAGATCCAGAGAGTCGACAGATTCACTTACCTCGGAACTACCCTCAACTCACAATGGGATTACGTTCAAGAGATTAAATCCAGAATTGAAATGGCACGGTCTACATTTATTAAGTTGAGATCCTTGCTGTGCTACAGTGATCACAGTTTAGGAACCAAGATGCGGATAGTGAGGTGCTACGTTCTTCCAGTGTTACTATATGGAGTTGAAGTCTGGACACTGACGCAAGCCACTGAAAAACGAATCGAAGCCTTCGAGATGTGGATCTACAGAAGGATACTAAAAATATCTTATGTGGACCATGTCACCAACGTTGAGGTCCTAGAGCGCATGACAAAAGAAAAAGAAGTACTTAATTTAATTAAACAACTTAAGCTTGAGTACCTCGGCCACGTGATGCGGAACGAAGAAAAATATCGAATTCTTCAACTCGTTATGCAGGGTAAAGTATTTGGCAGAAGAGGACCGGCATGTCGTATCTCGTGGTTAAAAAATCTCCGACAATGGTTTGGGATGACCTCAGCGGAGCTGTTTCGCAGAGCAGTCAACAAAACCATGATAGCCTTGATGATCGCCAACATCCGGACCGATAAGGCACTGAAGAAGATGTTTTGTTTTTTAATATGTCGTTTAATTTTATGAATACATATGAAACATTCTGATCTCTTGTCTTTATATTTTTTTAAACATATATTTTTTTGACATATATTTTATTTAACATATATTTTTTAACATATATTTTTTGGTATTGAATTGTTCGAAAGTTTAAAAAAGTTACCCAAAGTCTCGACCGAAACTAACTTACCATTATGGATGAGTTTACGTGTTGTGACTTTATTTTACTGTGTTTAGTTTTAAGGTACATTACCTCTATGACAATATTTTTTAAAAAATATTCCAAGAAATAATTTCTTCTTCTTGTAGTGGCTATCCGTTTAGGATGTTGACGACCATCATGGCACTCTGTTGTTGTGTTGAACCACGTGCGTTGATTTTTCAGCCAGGAAATGCTTCGCCTTCCTGGTCATCGTTTTCCCTCTTTTTTCCTTGAAAAGTTAATTGCAGTAACCTATATATTTCGCTGTTTCTCATGATATGACCGAGGTATTCACTTTTGGCTGTTTTTATTGTGGTTAACTCTTTTCCATTTTGCATTCTTAATAAAACGTCCTGGTTAGTAACGTGGTAGATATAGGATATCTTCATGATTCTACGATAAAGCCACATTTCGAAAGCCTCAATTTTCTTACAGGCAGAGTCTGTGAAAGTCCACGACTCAACTCTGTACAATAGTAATAGGAAAGATATAACATCGTAGTAACCTGATTTTTATGGATACTGATAAATCGTGGCATTTGAATAGCTTAGCCATTTTTTGAAATGCCGATCTTGCTCTCTCTATCCTAGATTTTATTTCTAGGGAATTGTCTCAATTTTCATTGACGTTCATACCAAGGTTGGTGTATTTTTCTACTCTTTCTATTGGTTCACCATTTACACTGATTCTTTCAATTTGCTGTTCCTTCTTAGAGATCATCATACATTTTGTTTTCTTAATATTCAGTGAAAGTCCATATCTCTGACTCACTTCTGTGATTCTATTCATTAACTACTGGAGGGGGAGTTAATGAATAGAATTAATGAGTTAATTAACTGTCAGCGAATACCACCGTGCCATCCGCGTATCTGATGTTATTGATACATGCTCCGGTAATTCGAATTCCAGCTTCATCATCTTCTACTATTTTTTAAAAGATTTTCTCAAAGTATATGTTAAACAGCCAGAGTGATAGTCTACATCGCTGTCGGACCTTACGTTTGATTTTAATATCATCGGATTATCCTGCCTCTATACGGATAGACGATGTTTAATTCCAGTACATATTGCTATTATTTCTTAGATCACAGGTGTTTATTCCAATATTTGTTAATATCTCCATCAGCTTGACGTGTTTAACGGTATTAAATGCTTTATGGTAATCAATGAAGCATGTATAAATATCGCAGTTAACATCTGTACATCGTTTAAATAGCACTTGGATGGTAAAGAGAGCCTCTCTCGTACCCACTGCGTTCCGAAAACCAAACTGTGCACGGCTAGTTTTTTCTTCACATATTTCGTCTATATTTCCTTTGATATAATTTTTAGAAATAACTTTAGAATGTCGCTCATTAAGCTAATAGTCCGGAAATCATTGCAGAATACGCATTTTGTTTCCTTAGGTAAAGCAATAAAGGTTGACTTCAGCCATGATCTTGGTATAACAGCGTTTAAATATATGTCACTGAATATTTTTGTTAGTCATTGAGTAACGTCGGTGTTAAATAGCTTTATGAGTTCAGCATATGCATTGTCAGGTCCAGAACTTTTGCCATCTTTTAGTTATGTTTTTGATTTTTCCACTTCATCTGATGTGATTGGTAAATGGTCATTACATATGTAGGACGGACGTTGTTCGGACGTATTAATTATCATCAAAGAATTCTTTTATGTATTTGGATCCATATTTCTTAATTTTTATCTGTGATGATGTTCCCTGTTGATCTTGCAGTTTGCTAGCTGTGTTGGATTTTTGAAAACCAGCTGCTTATTTTATCTTTTTATGCATATTAAATATATCGTGTTCAGATAGACAATAGTCCAAAATCACAAATGAATTTACCGCTTTTCCCTTTACCAATTTTTGCATTTAAGTCACCCATAATAATATTATATCTTTTTTTTTTTAATTTTTTTAAGCAAAATTATCAACAACTCATAGAATTGCTCTTCCTCTTCTTCTGGTTTTTCGCTGGTTGGGGCATATACTTGTAAAATATTTAATTTGATCGGAGTAATATTCAGTTGGAATTATTATTAATCTTTCAGAAACAAGAATAACATTTATAACATATTGACGTAATTAAGAAAATACGATTACTTCTTTAAGAAATTATTCACACAAAAAATAATACAAAACAATTGCAAGAAAACAAGCAAAAAAACAAGCGAGAAAACTTCGTCTTTGTATTAACTTACCGGTAGGAAGAACTCTGGACCAAGAAATGGAAAATCTATAATGCTTAACACCCATAGCTTTCATAATCTGGACATCTTCCTTGTATTTGTAGTAAGATAGACAAGCATCATCACCATTGCTCCTATCCGGTGTAAACTCAGGATTTTCGTGGGTCATGTTGTCCCAAACGCTTGGGCTCCTACCGTCTACATTCCAAGCACCTACAAAATATTTAATTTAATAATATATCATACTATTAAACAAGATCAAAATCACGTTTTAAATTAATACTATCTATTTTGTAATCCACAGCTACTAAGAAAATTAAACAATGTATTGCTAATTAGCGCAAGGGTACCACCAACAATTAACAGAACAGTAGTAAATAATCTCAGATATGCAGACGATACAATACCCGTGCATACATCAGAGAAGTGCTGCAAATTGTGGTTGATCGGACCACGCAGTATTACGAGAGATATGGAAGAACAAACAAAAATAATAATTCTCAGTAAGAACAAGATTGAAGACGAAACAATCTACGTTAAAGGAAAAGCTAGCAGATATGGGACCGCAGCCTTGAAATAAAATGAGGCATTGAGATGAACAGAAGCGCTTTCAATAATATGAAATCAGTATTATGCAATGGAAAACTAAAAAAAATAAAGTATATTGCACTCTGTAAAAGGTTTTAACATAGAACTATGCTGGACTGAGTCAAATGCTATCTACAAATAATAACGTATATATCTAATGGCTTGCTGTATCCTATATATTTCTCTATTAAGCATTTTATCACTTGTAGGTGGTCATGAATTCCAAAGCCACTCCTAAATCCGGTTTGCTCTAGTGGTTGGTGAAAATCTAGTTTAGGTCGTAGTCTGTTAATAATTATTCTCATAAAGAGCTTACATAAAGGAGATATTAAGCTGATAGGTCTGTATTTTCCAATTTCTATTACATTTTCTTTTTTATGCAATATTATCATAATGACACTATTCTAGTTGTCTTTATGCTTTGACATAAAGCTTTTATGATACATTTGCCTCCTAGTTATATCATTTCACTATCTTCTTTAGGTATTTTGTTGTTCTTCGTACCTTTTAACAGTGATTTAAGTTTCTCTTCGTTTATATCTGGTAGTTTCTCAGATCCTTGATTTTGTATTCTTGCGATTTCTACCACTGAATTGCACTGTGAGCATCTTAGCTCTATAATGTTCCGAAATACTCTTTGATGATTTTCAGGTTCTCTTGTTGTTCATATATGGCATGTCCTTATTTATTTTTTAACTTATAAATATTCGTCGTTCCTGTCTGCAAATTTTGTTTTAGAACTTTTAGGCTTTTGTTTTGTTCTAGGTATTAGTTATTTCTTTAGTGATACATTTCCTTATGTCGTTCCTAATGGCTTTTAAAAATGATTTTGTTTAAATTATTTAGCTCTGCAATATTCACTGTGTGCTTATCTTTTATTTAACTCTTTTTTGCATTAGGTCTATTGTGCCTTCTGTAAGTTTTTTGTTTTTCCTTGTAAGCTTGGTTTGACACTTCTTCTGTGCCTTCTTTAAGGTATTTACCCACATTTCGTTAAGCTGCTCAATTTTCTTTTGCACGTCATTCTGTAGGTTACTATCAATTTCTTCCTGGTATTCGCTTATATTAGTAATCGCAGTATATGTGACATTTTTAATCCGTGTTACCTTATTTCTTCTTTCCTTCTTTCAAGACAATCCTTGCTCTAACCAATCTATGGTCAGTTCTAGTTGAAAATTAATTTAAAACAATTACGTTTCGAACAGCGACTTTCTTAGTGGTAAATATAAGTTATTTATTTTCTTTGGTGATTGCCAAGTCTACTTTTTTTGGTGGCTTTTTTTAAATGAGTCTTCTTGGCATATAGCCTCTGTTGCAGAAGAAATTCTATAACCGTTTGACCCATTTCATTTCTATCGCCATATCCGTGATGTCCGAGTACAAACTTTGAATTATCCTGCTTGTGGCAGATTTTGGCGTTTAGATCTTCTATCAGTATCGATAGTTGGTGGCTCTTGTATCATAGTGTTAACGTCATCGTATTACCATTTAACTTTTTCGTATGTGTGGATACTGGTAGGTGCGTATATCTGGATGATCTTGAATCGAATGTTTTCGTTTACTTTGTAGAAAACATATATGACTCTATCACTTATGCTTTTAATTGTGAATATATTCTTTTTGTGTTTGTATTTATAAAAAATCCGACACAACCATTGTAAAACTCTCCTCTCCAATGCAATAGGTTTTCCGACGAAAGTACCATTAACTTATTCTCCACCTTTTTGACGTACTTCGTAGACACCAATCTATCTAACTTTGGTGTAATTCAATTTATTATTACTGTTGATAAAGTCTAGTTCCTAGTGAGCTCTGGGATTAACAAATGAGAAATCTTCTTGTTTTTGGTTTCCACAATTTTCCTTCTAGACTTGGTCAAACTTTAATTGGTTTTGATTCATTTTTGATAATTTTAAATATTTAAATCTGCACTTTTAAAAAAAATCTAAAAATTAACATCATAAATTTAACTTGCACATGACAACTTAGTCATTTTCAATTTTAATTTTTTGACAGAGAGGTCGCATAGGTTTGCTTCCGCCTTCGAAACATACTAATGTTTCCTTGCTTTAACCAGGCAGCCATTGTTTTAATTAGTACTATCAAATGTAATTTTTAAAATCTTAAAAGGGTTTAATCCGTACAATAAAGAATTTGATCTTTAATGAGTCTTTTAATGCATTTTGTGTTGGCAATTACTTTTTTATGAGGTATTTTTAACCTACTATAAGACGAAGTTTTTTTGATTCTGTAATTAATACAAACAATACTTTTAAAGTATTGTTCTTTATGGTAAGCTCTGAAGATGGCATATTACATGCTGAAAGTAAATAAAAATTTTACACACTATCACGTTTTTGAAAACATACACCTGTTGCCAGTTTGACCTATCTTTTATTTCTTGACTGTCTTTTCATTTTAATCCGCTATTCCTCATAATGTTTGTTCTGAATATCAATGACATTATGAAAAAAAATTTAGATTAATGAAAAGGCATTGTATTTAATCTTAATTACTGACATTTAAGGGTCTTCTAAAATTAAAAAAAGGCATAATAACCTAGTTATTACAAAAACACAGATAATGATAAAATAGCCAGAATTGGTAGAAGTAAGAACTAGTCTTAAGATACTGGAATAATAAAATTAGAATTTTTCCCTTTTAAACTACCACTAGACAAAGTTTCGATTTTAGAAAATGACATGGTGGGAGACAATTAGACGAGAAATATATCTAAAAGGTTACCATCTAAAAAATATCTAAATATGTACCAAAATAAAAATTCATGCAATAATGTAAATAGGAAAGTTGACTCTCTGAAATTAAACTGGAATGATGAGAATTTTTTTATTCTGAATGCGGTTTTGTGTGGTTTACAAAAATAAGGGAAATGTGTCATTAGAACGGCCGATACTATCTAGAAATAAAGAACAAAGACAACGATTATAAAGATTGGCTTTACATAGCATATTATATTTAGCATTTCTCTTTGTCCTTTTTCAGTGAAGTCTCTTTTTCCATTGTTGTTTTTATTTGTCTGTTCCACTGTAATCTATGACATCCTCTTTTCCTGCTTCTATTATGTTTCCAATTCTAAGTTTTCAGCGCTATTCTCTTCTCGACCATTCTTCGTATATACCCATACCAGAGTCCTTTTCGTTTTTCTGTTTCATCATTTAGTGTCTCTTTCATATTCTTCATTAGTTCACTAATTCGCCCATTTCTTTTTTTGTCCGTTTGTGTTGTTCTGTTTCTCTTCCAAAACATAATTTTTATTAAATTTATTCTATTTTTCATTGTTTAGTTTGTTACCCACGTGTCTGAGTCATGACGTTCTACTATTCTTTTCAAGATTTGGTGTCTTCTGCGTTGCTTCTATTGACCATGTATTGCGTATGATTGTCATTATTTTCCAGATCCCAGCTCAAAAGTTCTGCTTCCAGATTTTTTAATAGGTACACCGATGTTGTCTTTGACTGGTGCTTAAATTATTTCATCATCAGCAAATAAAATGATAAAACTTTCATAACCAAAAAATTATTTATATTCTCCAAATAGCTCATACTTGGAATAAGTTTTCAAGAAAATCTTAAATATGTAAGAAAAATAAAGTACTCACCTTCTACTTGGTATGCAGAAGTCGCCACACCAAACATGAAATCTTCTGGGAAACGTTTGTTATTAGTCTCATATTGGTCACCCAAGCTGGAAATAAAAACGAAAAGGAATGTTAAAGAACAAAAACTTAAAACATTTATATATTAAAGAGACAGTTGTTATATCACGTAAGCAATTAAATATATTTGACGCTTATATTAAATAATAACAGTTTTAACAAATCATAATCCCTATGATGACGCACAAGTGGGTATTAGGAATGAACTAACCATGTGCGTCAGCAGATGTCAAATGGTCTATTGTGCTATTGTGATCCAAGAAGTGTTTTTTTATCTGATACACAAACTTAGATAAAATAGATACAGTATTTGTTAGTTAGTTTTTAAGAGAGTTGTGTTTTAACTTTCAATAAAAAAAACACATATTTATCCATGATTATAAATTTCTTGTAGCAAAAACCCTAAAATCCCTGAGAAAAAGCAAATTCATGCTATATATTTGGCATCTCAATAAGTGGCATAATTAAGGTCGATTGAGACACATCAGTCACGTCTCGTCGCAGTCCTGGCACCGAACCGAACAATCCGTCATACAAAATATTCTTCAATAGAAATATGGCGCCGGCATTCATATTCATCAGGCGACGAACAGTTTCCCAGCTGTCAGATAATTAATAGTTCTGTGACCAAACAGGACCGGTTCGGCGCCGAAACTGTGACGGGACTGATGTGTCTGAATCGACCTTTAAAGTGGTAATTTTGACGACCAGCTCGTGGCATATATGTATATATGTGTCATTTAACTTGTTGAAGAAAGTTATATATGGATAAATCAATATTTGTGGTATTCTAAGGGTAAAATTAACGACAAAATTCGCCGGTTAAAACAGTGACCCTGTTCTGTTCATGTCATTTTTTGCGAAGGTTCTCGTATTAGTAAAACGTGCTTCACTCTTTCGGACCCTTTGACTAGTGTAATTTTTTAAAATAATTTTCTGCTTCGTGCTTAGTTCCTAGACAGAACGTTTTGAATTCAGGTGATTCGGTAAATAGTTATTATGCGAACGCTAGTGCTTCGATATTTAATTACGGAACATCGGTTACAAAAACGAACATTGTTTCGGGAATTAAAGTCGAACTGTTTGTGGTCTATTATATTAAACTTCGGTTTAACTACTGGACTACATACTCTTAATAGTTTCGGTATTAATCACTAAACTATATATATTTTATTGAAAACCTACATTACAATTATGCTTGATGATTTTGCTGCTAAATAGTATTAAGGCATTAAAGATACTATACCTACATGAAACGAACTTATTAAGCTTTTAAGAATTACGTTTGGTCCGAAAAAACGGGCATATCATATTTATGGCGAACTATTTGCTGAGCAACTCGATAGAAAAATAAACGTTGATGTTTTTGTTTGTAAATATATATTTGCTTAATTAGAACCAGGTATTTGTTCACAGAAGCACGGAAAGTTTATGATGTCTTTGAACAACCTAGTTTTTAGGAGAAGAAAGCCTTTTACGTTCGTCATTCGTATCAAAAATGGTTGATACGAAATCAAGCTCTACCTTCGACTTGGAAAGTAATTTCAGCTTCCTCGCGTACGGTTAGTGCTACCGTCAGAGAAACTACTTTGAAATCACGGCACAATAGCTTAAGCAACCCTTTAACTTGTTACTGTTATGGTAAATTAAGATTCATCAGTGTATACAACTTTTTGGAAAATAAAGGTAAAACGTTTAAGTCAGAACAAATTTCTGTAAAATTTTTTGATGGTGTTAGTAGAAACGAGTAAGTGTTGACAACGTTAGTTGATGTACAAGTAAGAGATAAAATGGTGTCTACTAAGGTTATACTTTTTCCTAATGCACCAATAAAAGTTCTCTTTGGCCATCTTGGCCAATGCAAAAAGTCTTGGATTTGCGTAATAAAGATTGGTATTTTGCAAATGAAAGCACACGACAGCAGTTGTTCTTTAAATCCAAGTGTATTAAACTTACTGAAATTTATTGCTGTAAAAATTTAAAACAGGATAAAGGAACGATGCTAGCTGAATATGAACGAGTTCGACTCGATGACTTTTAAAAAGTAGGAAGAATACCTTTAGAATGGAGGGAGAGCCTACAGCCTATGCAGTGCATCGCATTAACGCTGGATGTCACCTGCAAAGAAGAAAGTGCTTAAATCTGAGTTAGATAAACTCTTGGAAGAAGGCATCATCAAAGAATGTAAAAGTGCATGGGCCGCGCCGATTGTATTAGTGCCGAAAAAAGATGGCGGTACGAGACCTTGCGTAGATTATCAACGTTTAAGCGCTGTTACTACTAGTGACTCTTATCCGTTGCCGGATAAGAGTATGTAAGATTTATTACACGCCTCTAAGCGAACTTTTTATAAGTCTACTATAGACTTACGATCGGGATATCATCAGTTTAATATAGCGGAAGCTGACCGTGATAGAACTGCTTTGTGTCACCATTCGGGACTTACTGGTACTTTCGGATGCCTTTTAGACTAAAAAGAGCCCCAATGAATTTTCAGACTCAAGAACTATTTTCGTCGTAATTTCAGTTTATTGTGTTTCATGTATCCGTTCTTGCACACGCCAACCTAAATCATGTTGAAGCTCGCACACCTATAGCGTCAAGATGAAAACAAGGACGCCCAGGAAAAAAACCTGCATCTTTTTCTGATCCCTTCTCTAATGAGTACCATCCCAGGGTGACACTCTAACAAATTAAAATCCCTATGGTTACACCTATGGGGGTATGAGACATGAACGAGCCATGTGCATCAGCAGATGTCAAGTGGTATAATGTGTTTATGTGATCCAAGAAGTGATTTGTAATCTTATCTTCTTCTTCGTCTTTTGTCATCATAACCCTGGATGGGTCTTTGCCTATCTGGCCATGTCCTTCCGTTCAGATCTCTCTTGGGCCCTTCTCCTCCATTATCTTGTATTCATGGTTTTCAGGTCGTCTTCCACGTCATTAAACCATCTCGTACTAAACCTTTCTATTTTCCTCCTTCTTACCGGCTTTCACTGTAACATTGTCTATGTCGTTTTCGTATCTTATTGTCGCTGAACATGTCTTGTGTCTTAGCTTGTATTGCTATATTATTTTCATTCTCAGGTGTTCTTTTGATGGTCATGTACTTAGTTTTTGTTGTGTTTATTTTAAGCCCTCTTTTTGTGCTTCAGGATCAATTTCCCTTACCGTTTTTATTAGCTGTGTCTTGCTTCTATTAATAATGGCGTCATCGTCTGTATAAGCAGTTATTGGTACTGTTTTGATGTTAATATGGCCGGTTACATATGACTGCTTCAAGAACTAGGTTGAAGAGCATGGTTGAAAGTTAAAAGTTTTGTTATCTGATACACAAACTTAAATTAAATAGATATAGTATTTGTTAGTTGGTTTTTAAGAGAGTTGAGTTTTAACCTTCAATAGAGAAACCCTCTAACTCACTAAGGAGATTGCAATAATTGCATTGCAATATTTAGAACTATTTATTTAAAAATGGCTTACGTCTAGCAGTCTATAAGCTAAATGTTTATTACAGGAATACCAAATATTACAGACACTCCTTGATGTTTTCTCTAATTAAACTACAGATCTCATCTCAAACATCAAAATAACAAAAATAATAAAAAATAACCTATACTATAAGAAAGATTCATTTGTTTTGTTTGTTACGTAACAACACAAGTGGATTTATTGTTAATTAAAAAATTATAGAAATTTCAATAAATGTCTTATGCAAACTAAATAATAAAGTATATTAAATAAAACAAATTAAGTAGTAGTAGGTACAAGACCAAAAATGGATAAGCATGGCTAACTCCAAAAACATCAAAAATGTAATTAAATTAAAATCAAACTTACTGGTAACCAGTTACTAATGCAGCAAACAATAATAACATCAACATACTTGGTCGTTTGGAAAAACCCATGAAAAAATAAATTTTTAAGTTTATATACCCTTTATCTATATCTTCAATCGATATACCTACTCAAGCCCACACGTTTACGTACAAACATTTTCAATTGTATAGTAGTCAAGAGCTTATCTTCATTTAAACTTTAATTATATTTCTATATTGTAGAGAATATTTCCAAGATATTATCTACCAAAGCAATACCAATATTTTGTATAAAAAATCAATATTAAATTAAGTATTCATCCAGAAAAGTATCAAAGAAAGGGTGATAGAATATTACGGACCATATTTATCTTCAATATCTGACAATATCCAATACCTTACTATTAATTTGGCATCATTTTCTTCCATATATAAACATAAATATAAAATGGTTATCTTAAGTTTTTTAGAAAATGAATATGTTATTTAACCATGATCATGTATGATCAATATTGTGTATTGTAAGAGATTTGAATACCAGTATTGGCAAAAGAGAACCAGAAGATATCATAGAAAAATATAGTTTGGGAATACGAAATAAAAAAAAGATATGTTGTCATCATTTTTTGTAGAACACCAACTAGTAATAACAAACACAATTTTCAAACTTTCAAAGCGTCATCTTTACACCTGGAGATCGCCAGCAGATACACCTGAGCGAGTGGCTCGTAACCAAATAGACTTCATATGTATAAATAAAAGATACAGACATTCGGTATTAGCAGTCAAAACAAATGTAAGTGCAGATGGAACATCATCAGGGAAACTGGACGAGGATTAAATATCGTGATATTAAAGACCCTTTAAGACACAAAATTAAGTAAATAAAAACAGGAAGAAAATAAAGATGAACAACAGAAGAAATATGAAAATAAACACAATACATTTAATCTGCAAAAGAAATTAAAAGGGATCGCTGGAAACAAACCAACAAAACTATCCAAATGCTTAAAAGACAAAAATGGACACAGAATATTAGATATCAATGAACAATTAAAAGAATGGAAAAACTACATTTCTAAATTGAAGATGAAAGAGTGGAACACTATACACCGATTGCTAGATCCATCTATAAGAAAAAGTGAGGTTACATGGGTAATACAAACGGCATAATATGGAAAAGCACTTGGTACCGATGAAGTAAGTACTGAAAGGCTAACATTTCTGGGATAAAATGGAAATAAAGCAATGTATGGTCTCATTCATGTGGTCATTCGTGACACTGAGATATTACCAACCGATTGATTTAAGTCGACATTTGTCAAAATAAAGAGATATCGTGCAAAGACATGCAGTAATTATGGGAAAATAGTCTAATGAGTCAGGTTTTGAAGATCTTTCGGCAAGTAATACATAGGAGAATATACACGATATTAGAGAAGAGAATTCTCGGCAAATTTCAGGTGATTCAGGTTTTTGCCATCTATCGTCACTCCTTTATTTCCCCATTCTAAAGTTTGGAATATATCTTCTAGAGCTAAATTAAATAGTTTAGATGAGATAGCATCTCCTTATCTAAATTCTCTTTGTTGTTTAATTTTTTCTGTTTTTACTTGCTATGTTATAGTATAGTCATATATATTCCTAATAATTTTGGTATAACCGTCATCAATTTTAGTGTTGCTTAAGGCGTTAAGGATGTCTCAAATTTCTATAGAGTCAAATGCATTCTTGTAATCTACCATAGCTATCCAGAGTGGTATACTGTATTTGTTTAATTTTTCAATTAGTATTCTTATTACTTATATATGATCTATGGTACTATAACCTATAATAATGGGCTAATAGGTCTATAGATTTCTAACAGGCTTAGAAAAGGACGAAGGAAAAGGAATTTTCTAAGGAAAATATCGAAGAAAATATGGTAAAAGACGCTTAGGCCGGGCATGTCGGTAAAGGGAATTTATATTGTTTAGTTTAGTTTTATTTGAGTCCAAACAAAAGATATTCCGATATTTTAGGCGTAGCAATTCCGTTAGGAATATATGGAGGAATAACACTGAGCCGCAAGGCCTCATCTCTTGCCTTACTGATCCTACGTGTCTTTTATGTAGCAGTATCAAATTTGTCCCATTTTCAAGGAGATTTATTCGAAGGAGATTTACATGAGACACCAATTATTTTTAATCACATTTTCTTCCTGAAACCATCTTTCAGTAAAACTGATTTTTACAGATTTAGAGAATAAATGTAAATAAATTACATTTATTCTTTTAGATTTTAGTAATTCAATGACTCACAATTTACATAGTCAACGTTACCAGCAATCCCCAAAAATATTTACCTACCCCTTACTACTTGTTTTAGTTTATGAGGCAATATAGAATATAATATATTAAAAAAATAAAATACAATTAAGATGTAAGTGAAGGTGGCACTATACTACCAAAGCCAGAAGAAGAATAGTTGATAGACATTAAGCCTTTCACTATTTCTGCTACTCCCATATCCTTTTTGTACTGTACAATAATCAGTACTATAAAAATTCACTGTACAGTATATTCAATGTAACACTCTAATTGCACATGTCAGAATAATAAAATGCTTAAATACATTGATAATAAAGAAAATAAATAGTTTTTAAAGAGGCTATTATTCTAACATTAAAACTAACTGTATATTTTTACTTAGGCTAATAATATCCTTATCAGCATAAGTATCTCAGTAAGCATAGTTATTATTACAAAATATATATCTGTAAATGTCAAAATTTATCTTGACTGATCGATACTTCAATAGAACATTTTAACCTTGCATTTACCCTTAAGGTTAAATTTAAACATTTATTAAAATGTTAATACATTTTTGAAAAAACCTTTTTGTTATTAAAAAAAAGGTTATTAGTTGGATTACACATAAAGTTATAAAAATTTATAATACACTGTTTGTATTTTGAGAACGATTTCCGAAGTGGAAATTGAAATGTCAATAAACTTATTTTAACCTTTAAAATTGTGGCTTATTCCCAGTTAAATAGTAATACATTTTATGCAAATTAAACGGTAATTGTGTGGCATACATAACCAACAAAAATGCGTTTTATTTTTATCGAAAAAAATTATAATATGAGATACCTGTAGGTTCCAAATTTGAGAGTATCTCAAATTAGGACCCCGTTTAAAATTTTTATTTTTATGTTTTTTGCTTGTAGATGCCGCCAAAAAATAAAAAATTGAACGCAAATGATATGATACGGGCTGTACATGCAGTAAGAAATAGAGAGATTGGCTATTTGAGGGCCTCAAAAGTTTTTGTAGTACAAAAAGGTTCTTTAGAACGATATGTGAAATCAGACAAGACTCCAGAAGAACTCGTCAGGATATCAATTGGACCTATTCTTCCTTTGGAATTTGAAAATGAGTCTGTCCTAACTATGGACCAACGTTATTTTGGGCTAAGAGTGCGTGATATAAAATGACTGCGATTTCAACTTGCAATACGAAACTTAATACCACATCCATTTAGCGGAGTCAAAAAATCAGCAGAAAAGAAATGGTTGAGATTCTTTCTGAAATGGCATCCGACGCTTTCAATGCGTACTCCTCAGGGAATGTCATGTGCTCGAGTAAAATCTTTTACTCCTGAAAATATACCCAAGTTCTTTGCCCTGTATGCACCAGAATATCTTAAGCTTACTAACCCCGCACAACGTATATTCAATGTAGACGAAACGGGCTACAATTGTTCAGCACAAACATAGCAAAGTAATTTCGATGAGAGGGAAGAAGCAGGTTCGTTACTTATTTCATCAGGAAGTGGCAAACTGATTACTGCTATTACATATATGAATACTGCAGGAGTTTTCGTATCACCGTTATTAATCTTCTCTAGAAAAAATATGAAAACAGAGTTGATACTAGAAGCTCCCACTGGAGCAATCGCAGAATGCCATGTGTTAGGTTGGGTACAGGCCAATATTTTCACTAGATGGCTTCAACACTTTATTTATTTTACTAAACCTTCAGCGGCAGACCCTGTTCTTATCGTCCTTAATGATCACTATTCTCATAGAAGAAACGTTGTTCTAATAGATTTGACCAAACAGAATCATGTGACGATTTTTTGCCTATCACCTCATTCTACGCATAAAATGCAACCGTTGGATGTTGCTTTTATGGCACTGCTGAAAACTTACTACGCAAAAGAAATATAAAACTGGATTAGAGAAAATCAGTTGAGTGTTGTGTCGCCTTATGCCGTTTCCAGTATTTTTTGTAAAGCGTATAACAAAGCTGAGACGATGGAAATATCTTGCAATGGTTTCCGAAAAACTGGACTGGTCACTATTTGTTGCCATATTTTTAGGGACTTTGAATTTGGAATTCAGGAGCACTTAGAAACACAAAACGAAAGGGACAAACAAATAATAGAACCAAACCATGAACAAACAAATCATCCAATGCGAGAACATAGTCCAGCTAGTCCACCACTACCTCATCAACAACTTGTTTCTCTAAAAGACATCTGTCCAATCCCTACATTTTACAGGAGAGATACCACTGAAACACCACAAACCCTACAAAGAAGAATTAGAGCAAAGTTTGCAAAGGAAAAAAGCAAAAAAACTTGTATTCTGTATTTGCTCCAGAAAAAAACAGTTCAACAAAAGGTGTTATATAAAAAAACAGTAACGCCCAAAGAAGAAATAGCAGATGAAGACGCAGGTCAACCTTCTACATAAAAAGGCTAAACATCAAGAAGGAAGCGGAAAGTTTCTTCGAGTTCAAGCTCAGATAGCAGTGAAGACTTTCCATTAGCTAATTCATCGTCCAACGAGAGTGGAGAAAACGACGCTGAATGTTTATTTTGCACCGGCAAATTTTCCGACGATAGATATGGCGAACGATGGGCAAAGTGTTACCAATGTGGCAGGTGCGCACATAAAGACTGTGGAGAAAAGGCTGAAAAAGGCTGTCCAGCACATTAATTTACCTTTTCATCGAAGAAAAGGGCTTTTTTGAATAGTATCTTAAATTAAGGTACCTGTCTCAAGTTTAGATACCTGGCTATC